CCATTGGCTTACGAATCGCTTCGACTTGCAGCTTCAACAGAATTTAAGGATGCAGAAACATGAGCTTATCAGGCTATGCTTCGAGACCCACTTATTATGTCCATTTAGTTTAACATTTATCTCAATCTTGATATAGAAATTATTCCTCTTTTTTAATTTATCGAGAATAGATTAATCATCAAAACGGAAAGCGCCAAATATTATCTGTTTATTTTTCCTCGATATTAATTTGTTCACTTTGACAATATGGTATTATTTACCTGCTAACCTAAGCTCTAAACATTCTTTTTTGCTTTTCCAAATGATTGCGAGATAATCCTAGTTTTTATCGGTTTGGCATATTACTATGCGTTTTATTATATTGCCTTTACGGAAAAAAATTATGCAGGCCAAATTACAACTTGTTTTTTTCTACCTTTTGTATAAAATATACCTTTCACTTTTGCTTTAAAGGAGACAAAACTAAGCCCAGCATCGCGGCCGTCGTCGCCAGTATGGATGCCCATCCAAGCCGTTATTCAGCAACTGTACGTGTGCAGTCGCATAGACAAGAGGTCATACAGGAACTCTATCCCATGGTGAAGGATCTACTGCTCCAGTTCTATCGATCCACGCGATTTAAGCCGACCCGTGTCATCTACTATCGTGACGGTGTCAGTGAAGGCCAATTCTCTAACGTAAGCCTTTCTATTCTGACTGTTTAATTCTAGCTATCCTTAGTTGCAGTATGAATTTTAAAGAAATATCGTTTGGAGTCTATCTTTTATCGTGTTTCGCCCTAATTAATAGTTCCTAAGATGCTGAAGGCCTTTTATCCTTCAAATTGCATTAATTTGGTCAGGGATACGTAGTTCGACACATCTTGTGTGATGTCCTCTGCTATAGTAGCTCTCATAATTCTCAGTGCTGTCCCATAGAGTTGGTACATTCCCAGACGCATCGCCGGCATCGGCATCGTCAGTTAGTCTTGCCATTATCAGTATCAAGCCACAGCTCGTTAAATAGACAAGTGAAGTTAATCCCTTGTACAACTTTCCGGCAAATGGTTGTGCTATCACCCATCTTTTTGTCCTGGCACTAAAATGCTGGCGAAACGTCTGGGAACGTGCCAGGTCTACGCTGGGAATTATGCTAACTAGTATAGTAGAGGACTTCGGGTAAATTGCGTCCAAATAGGTTGTCCTGACAGCACAACCACTTCTATACATTGAAAGGAGACTGCGGCTAAAAATGGCCGCAACATCTTGACTATCATATCTACATTACTGTTGTACTGCTGCACCAAATTGACATCTTTCATTTTAGAACATTCCTCTACGCAAATTAATCTAAATACTAATTTATAGTATATTTTTATTGTACGAATCACATTCTTTTTAGTTTTTTGCTCTACTCTAGATAATCATTTGAAGATCTCATGAGGTTATTTTTTTTCCACAACAACTTAGTTGACTCTTATTTCTTATGCACTTATAATTATGCAAATGCATTTATATGCGTGGTAGGTGCCTCTAAGTTATTTCATATAGTAAAGGATGGCACTAGCTTTGTGTTTTCATTGATACTTATATCTAAACGAATCTTCAGCATGCGCTTTCCTAGAAATAAAATATTCCTAAAACTTTTCGATTTTAA